ATGCATCAGTTTTGCAACACAGACTGCTAAGAGGAACTGAGTCACATTCCCTTACTTCAGTCTTAAGTTAGCTGGGTATTAAAGTCAGCAAATCTTTAAGTACCACATGGAAAAGGAGTCTTTATGAATGTTTATAAATGTTGTCATGAAGTGTTTTTCATTAAATACACTTCGTATATTTAATGAAAATACATGATGTGTACATCTTTTAATGCATATTTGTATATTTTAATTTAAATATGTACTAAAAGTCAATTAAAAGTATCAACTAAGCATCATTTGGTACATAATTTTAACTTTATGCAAAGATGCATTAAAACTTACATTAAAAGTCAATTAAAAGAGTCAACTTTGCATTAAAAGGGAGACTATTTACCGAATGACACTTCATGACAATAGTCATAAACATTCATGAAGACTGTTTCATGTTCATGACAGGTATTATGTTTATGACAGTGTCATGTCAGTCACAACCCTTAAAATAAAGTGTTACTTGAAATATTTTAGGAAATATGTATGTTAGAATGAAAGCGGATGATTTATGAGAGTAAAATATTATATTTAAATTTCAAAAATGGTTCCTAAAAGTGGTTTCTATTTTCTTTCTTAACCCATTTTGCCTCTGGATGGACCCAATGTCGGTCGATGTGAATGCCTGCTCCTACCTCTTGTTCATATTCTTCATCATACTGATTCTTTGTTTTTTTAGACTGACAGTACAGGACCGCATCATGGATGGAGTTGAAGAGGCAGGACTTCGTCACGTTGCTGCTGAAGAATCCCCCGGCCTGGAGGCTCTCCACCACGCCGCCTAGGCACAACGATAACATTCAGAGCTCAAACGTTGCACTAAGAAGCAAGAGAAGCTGAAAAAGCACAGAGCAACTAGAAGGATGCAGTAGAAAGAAAATCTGCAGAGAACAAACAATAGGAGCCTTTTTCTCTTCTTCGGTGAAATGTGCCACATTATACGAATGCATAAATATTTTTGGCAGCTCTATTGTAGGGCTAAACACTTTAAATAAGCCATTTTTCTTATCAAGTGCTATCAGCTCGGTGCAGGTTAATCAGTGCTGCTGATCCTTTGAAGTAATCTGGATGGCTCCCATCTTTCTGTACCAGCAGATTGTTTGTCCCCCAGAGATCCGTGGGCTTTTTTCTCTCTATAGCAAATCAGGTCTAAATTTATCAACCACTACCTAAATATAAACTAGGGGTAAATAAATAAAAAAGGAAATAAACTGATACACCAGATTTCGCTAAGGAAATGCTTATTTTCTCATGATACCATAAAAAAAGAAAATAAACTCCTATGTGAGTTAAAATTGGCTGCGTGCGTCTAGAATACAGTTTAATAAAAGAGAAACCAAAATATAAACCCTACATGCTGACAAAGTCTCCTATAGAAAACACACCAATGCAATTTATGTAAAAAAAATATATATATGTATATGTATAGATATATATTTTTACTTTCAGTTTGACCAAAATTACTACAGTTATTTGGGTCCTGATTCTGATTACACTGGTTTGTATTCTGGTGACAGACAGTCCAAAACCTGAAGGCTGGACTTACTTTGGCAGCAAGCTAAAATAACCTCAATGTCGATCTCTCCGTAGTCTCGCCGAATCTGAAACAGAAGCACAAATGTCTGAATCATTTATTTAATCCAGTCCACAGTAACTGAAGTATAAATGACAGGTAAATACTGGAGGAATGGATAAAGTATACTTCACAAAGGTATGAAAAATGCTGGTTTAAAGTTAGAGAATTTATGACATGTTGGTGTGTTTCCATCATGCTGCCCTGGGCATTTATCCCCTGGAACCTCTTCACCCTGAACCTCTTTGCTCCCTGAGGCTGCTTGCTCTGATGTTCGGCTGTTTATGCTAATTATGTCTCTTGGTACTGGGAGGGTTGATTCTGCTTAGTCTACTGCCTGCAGGAAAGCTGCTGAGTGTGTGAGAGAGAGTTGGAAAAAAATGAAGAGCAGGGATTTTCAGCAAGAAACTGGTACCCTGTGAATATTTCACACTAGCTTTACTCCAAAATGTATCTCAAATCCCAAGATACTTCATGCAAAGGTGTCACTAACAAGCCTTATGAATATCAAAAGGACATCTGGATTTGTTCCAGTTGGTTTTTAATAGTGCTTACAAAGGGCACACTGATTGCAGTTTTTTGGTCGATCACTGATGACCGATTTTTAAGAACCGTGAACTGCCGATTGCAATTTTGGATGATGATGATTTTCTTTTTTTTGTCTAAAATAACGCTAAATATGGCAAGAAAGTCATCGAGTTGGCAACAGTGTAGACATGACCTGGAGGGTGGGTCTGTCAGCCAACCCTCTCTCACAACATAGCAAAATACAACAGTGGTTAATTTTCACATCTTTTGCCAATCAGATCTCCCAATATCAAATGAAATCGGAGCCGATTCATCGGCCGGCTGATTTATTGTTGCACCATAGTGGTTACACCATACAACTCAATCAAAATCTCTCCAAGAAAGAGTAAAATGAACAGATGATTCAAAAATGGAGTCTAAGCAACATATTCTTCAAGAAAGCATCTCACAGCAGCTTGACAACATGAAGAGGTAGAAACTGGAACAAGTAAAACATAAATTCTGTCAATCAGAAATTTCTACCAGCTCCCTACAAAGGATTTTTTATTTTTTATTTCTGTGGTCAAATTCAACCTTATGTTTCTGATCTTACATGAACATCTTCTGTGGAGACACAAGAGGGTAAATACAGGCAAGGAAACTTCTAAGAACAGTTTCTAAAGAGTAAAGGGATAACTTGGCCAATAGAGGACTAAACTTTCTAGTTTTTCTAATCTAAACTTTATTGACCCAAGAAATTCTAGTCTAAACAAGCTGAAGTCATAGATTTCCTTATGAATTCAACAAGAGGCAATGACCTTATGTGCTGCTTGATTTCTAAAAATATATTTTAATAATCAATATTTTGCATTTGTGCCTTATTTTCTTACACTTTTAATTGTCTTGACGCCAACTGTGTCCAGGAAGTTCACAGGGCTCAGGTCAAGGATAATGGCCTTTGGCAGTGAGGGGTCAGGATCGTTGTCCACGTCAATGACAGCGATGCTATTCTGGTGCTCTGAATTTGGCTCCTCCTGCTGGATGGAAGGAGGAACAACACAGTTAAGGTAAAAAAACAAAAGTCAATCATCTCCCACAAAAAAAAGTTAAAACTGGGGAAACTCCAGAGTAGGAAGATCTAGTAAGGCAAAAATCTTCTCTGATAAATAGTTCTTTCATTTTTTCAAACAACCTGTAAAGAGTTTTTCTTTTTAACTTTGCTCACCATGTTGGCTTTATTCTTCTTGAGCTCTTTCTTCGCTTTCTTGGCCAGTTTCTTTTCATGCCTCTTTCGTTTGGCTTCCAGTTTCTTCTTTATCGACAGGATCTTAGTGATGTCCATGCCACTCTGAAAGAAACAGCAAAGGAAAACCATCCTTTAGTTTATTTTAAAAGCCCTGTTGATAGGTGAGATCTATCATAAGTCAACAAAACACAGGTTTTAATATGTAAGTCAAGAGAAAAATAGCCTGAAGGATTTTTGCAATATGCAAGGTAAACATAATAACGAATAAATATGAACTTTCGAACAAGAAAAACTGGGAAGACAATTAGATAAACAAAATAAATAAATAAGAAAAACACCTGCTGATATTTTGCATTTTGTCTCCTGCAGGAATGTGAGTGATTTATGTATGCATGATGTTGTTTTCTTTATAACCAAATTCTGGCAGACAGATGGGAGGCAGAATAAATGCAAACATTAAAGGTTTTATGCCCAAAAGAAGCCCAAACACAGCAATCAGTCACATACCAGAAGGAATAGTTGTCCCTTTTCTCATCAAAATTAGAGCTTATTATTCATTTTAGTTTTAAACGTAGACACTAATTACGCTTCATTAGCTTTCGAGTGCTTTTTTTGTGCAGATCATCATCTCTCTTCTAGCATTTTTCATTCATTATAAAAAAGATGATGAAATTGTCATTTTCAGATATTAATCATGTTAAAGCAATCACTTCTCCTCTAAGGGTCATGAAAACAGATTGTGAACAACACTAAATTCCTCTATTATCTCCAATCAACTGAGTTGTCCAGAGACAAAGCCGGACCAGGATTTGTCTGGTGGCGATTTCTCACCCTGTAAACAATCCCTTTAGCCTGTGCATGACGGCTCAATGAGAGCTTACATTAGTGCCTCCGAGATAAGAAAGCAAAAAAGAAATACTTTGGCTTTGACATGCTGACATTTTAATGAATGAGACGTTCCATTATCTCCTTCCCTGATTCAGTCTCTGCACCCCTCTCCGCTCCCGTCTGCTGGCATCTATTGTCCACGTTCCCTCAATTTGTCTTCCCATGTGCAACAAGGAGACGTGAAAGAAGGAGGAGGAGGATGAAGATGAGGAGGGAGAAGAAGAAGAGGAGGAGGCAGAGGGTGTTGGAGGAAAAAACTTAAAAAGAGAGAAGAAATTAGAAGGATGGCATTTTTAACAATGTCTGTCACGGCTGTGATGTGTGAAAACGGTAACGTGCCTCATCTGTTGTTAGTGTGTCAGAAGTGATGTTTGTAAAAGAGAAGTTGATTGCACGGAAAAATGTGACGAGATGGATTGCAGCTGCTGCTGGTTCTTCTATTTTACTTGCATATTGCACGTGTGTGTGTGTGTGCATATGAGTCTGCTTGGTTCATTAAATCAGGGCTTAGTGTCCGTCATGGTGACTCTGATACTACTTTTGGGTGCAGACACATTAATATATCAGCATGCATGATTATGAGTGTTTTCCTTCAGGGAAAACAAAAAAAAAAAAAAAAAAAGAGAGAGCGTATTTTGTCATCACTTTTCAAAATATTAGGGCTTGAAGTCAAGTTTTGAATTCGGAGCGGCTTGTCGCTTTAATGTTGTGTTTGTGTTCGTGCTGTCACCTTTTCTCCCAGAGCTTCTTGGTACAGCTCAGCATTGGCAAAGTAGAGGGTGGCAGAGGAACGGAAGATTAATATTCCTGGCACTTGCTTCGCCTAAAACCAATTAATGAGGTAAACACAGAAAAACATTTAGTAAATGCTCCAAATAAAGTCAGACTATATCTTAAAGCTGATATTACAGCAAATATCCTATATTTGCACAATATTTTGTGCAAATACAATCTGGTTGTTGTCCCACTAAGCTTGAAGTGATAGCTTGTAACTTGAATCTGGTGTTAAAGTGTATTAAAAAAGTATTAACACCCATCAGGCTTTTCACATTTTGTCAGTATACAAACAAAATGTGATTTATAAATACAAATCACCAAATAATGTGAAACGTTTGTGCACAGACTCACAAGAGGCAAACAGGCCAACAGCATGGAGGTCACGGTACTGACTTTTTCCATGCATAAATGTTAGTTTTGCACTGACTTGCTTTTTCTATATATTCTCAATTTATGAACTAAATCTCAATAAATGTTTCTGTGAAAAGGTCTTTAGAATTTACCTTGTCATAGTCTTCCACTGGCTTGTAAATATCAGTGTCTGCCACCTGCCCTAACAGAGAGTACTTGGGTCTGAAACACACACAAAACAAAGAAGCGATTGCCAAACTGCACTTCATGGTGATGAAACATGTAAATGAAGTGCTTGGTACATTTCAGATCTATGTTATTGTGTTGCTTAAAAGGAGAAAAAACATTCACCGTTTCCTCTACTACCGCTTAGCTAAGACTCTCTCAGGAGGTGTAACATTTCTAATCCTTCATATATTCAGACTCTGTTCTTCTCACAGCTGTGTCCTGAAGATGACAGTGAGCATGGAGAAGGCGATGGCAGCAGCCAGTCCCAGGTCAGGGTTCAACAACACAGTCAAGATGAAGGTGGCCACCCAGACCAGCTGGAGAAACAGAGAATTATATTTGAGGACCCAAAACAAAACAATGGCTGTTTAATAAAGTATGAGGTTTTAGTAACAAAAGCTATGAAGAAACACTGGAGCTTATGCAAAAATGGCCCCCATAAGAAAGTGATTGGGAAGAAAAAAAGAGAAAAAAAAAACAAAAAAAAAAAAAAACACAAAGAGATGTCTCATGTTTTCCCTTAAAACTCCTATGCAGTCACTAAAATGCTGTGAATTGGCAAGACTAAACTGGAACATTGTACCATAACATGTGGCATAAAACTAACAAAATTAAGATTTTGGAGTCGTTAGTTAAAGTCCAGACTCAAATGCGACTGAGAAATTTTTTAAAGCCTTTGTTGATTAAAAGAACAATATGATTTAAAAACTTTGATCTTTGATAATAAAACATTTACATGTATCAGAAAACATAAAAGAAATTCCTGAAGGGGATTTTTTTTTAGCATGGTTCAGTTTAATGCTCTCAGAGCATTAAACTCTGATGTTTGGGGATTCACATTAAACTAGCAGAAAAGTAGGAGAAATGTTGAAAATGGAGAATACATAACAAAAAAGTGCAAACATTTCATCAAAACAAAAAGAAAAAAAGTAAAGAGAATCTGTCTTTGCTAATGAACATCTTCCTTGCCAACATTTTGGCAAACTCACCATGTCGATTTTATTGCTTCTCCACAGAGCGGGGATGTCCAAGAACTGCTTCATCATGCCATGGAGATTAACGAAGATGATGGCAGCCAGCACTGCCTGAAAAAACAAAACAAAAACAACAAACAGAGCAATTTGTGTGGTGTGCTACACTGGGTTTGATGAGCTCAGCACTGGAGTTAACGGGCAGGCAAAAGGTAACGTGGACATAAACTCAGACATTAAAATTTATTTTCAGGATTTTAAAGGACTGGCGTGCTTTATGAACGTGAACCGGTGACCTAACAAAGGCCCGCGCATATTTGATGACGAAGTGAAAAGCATTAGGGCAGGATAAAATCATCCCAAACCTTTCAACCTGAACAATCTGGTTGCATTTTAGAGCACAATCCTCAGCTGTGAGGTAAATCTCTCCTGAGCCAGGCTCGGAGCGGGCCTTGTAATTCTGAACACATTCCTGCTTGGCTCTGAGTGTGTGTTCACCACTGTGTGTGTGCAAACACACATGCGAATACCTTGGGTAGATCTTCAAAGAGAGAGCCAATCCAGAGAGTGATGAAAAGGATAACCACTGCCGATAGAGCCCCAGCAACCTGCCGCGTACAGAAAGGGAAAACAGGCACATGATGAATGGATGGAGACGAAGTGAAAAAGATCAGAGGAAAAACATTAGAGACAACTTTAAAGAGATTAATGAGGCAGCGATTAGCTGTGTGAGCTGAGGAAGGGGGAAGAATTAGTGAAGCATCAGTAAATGTTCATGTTTTTGTTTTTGTCCAGGGGGCTGGTTGGTTAATAATGACATGGGCTTGAATAACTCGTGGAGTTCTTTAAACGTTTCTAAATCTGTCAAGGAGACAAACTGTAAATACTGGATAACATTTCTGAGAGTTTCTTTCTTCAATGTGTTTCCAGTTTAATTTAAGAAGCTAAGACTTTCCATAATGGTATTGAACTTCAGATGGTGACATATTGTCTTGCATCCACCGATGAAATGAGTAAAAATCAATTGAATAAATGTATCTTAACATATTTGTTTTACCTCACTCTGCGTGGTGAAACGATAAACTCAGACCCTCATCTAACTTTGGTTGCCACAGTTTTGAGTGTTTAAGTCATTTAAATGAAACACTGACCAACATTTTGATGTACACTGATGGCACTTAACAAATTGCAGTGTTTCAATTGTCGACTGTCTGTTCTGTGACTTTTAATTTTTGTGTTTTTGTGATGTGAAGCACTTTGACCTGTCTTTTTTGCTGAAATGTGCCATACGAACAAACTTAATTGATTTATTTTAACTATTAGTCTGAAAGTGGTAAGCATCGGCATGTAGCTGTCTTCTTGCATCAGCTCACATCTGCCTTCAGTTAAAAAGTATGTTCTCTTCTGTTTCCCATTTTGACTTGTGGCTACGGGACATCAGATCCAGACAGGGAAACAGGAAGACATAGATAACTCATTGAACTTTCTTAAGCACTTTCATCAACTTGAAACAGTGAATCAAAAGACGATTCAGAAACATTTACTGGTGCTACTGGTTTAGGATCTATAGAATTTTTTATAGTTTTTTTTCTTTTAAAAATGTATAGAAATTAAAGGGTGCATAATTTAACTCTCCATATCACAGGTGCTGATATTTGTGGAGGGCAAATTACATGATGCAATGTGAATGAAACTAAATCTAATTTAAATCTATATTGGTCTTCAAGAGGTGAAGAAAGGCCAGAGGTCAAAGGTTAAAGTAGAATTTTATGCCCTGAAATGGAAGAGGGAATGAATAACCTATCTGGAGTTATCATGCAACACTGTTTAACACGTGCTGTATGTCATGAACACCGTTCACAAGATCTAATAGGTAACACATTGTGTGCTGCAAACCAGACACAGACTTTTTTTTTTTCTTCTGTCAGGGAAGGTATTGTTTCTTTTTATAGCAGCAGAATGTCAGATCACTTTCTAAACACGTTACAACTGCCTTCAAGAAGTAAATATTTAAACATTTCACTTTCATATCTAGAGTGTTTCCTCTCTTCAGGTGACTCATGCCTTTTTCTGTTTTGGCAAGTTATTGATGTTAAAGTTAAATCTATCATGTTGTTTTATAAAACAAACTTGTCCATTTGACTGTTCATTATTGTCTTTGTTCTCCTGTTACTCGTTGCCAGAGACAAGCACATTTTGCCTCTAGATTTTAGCTTCATTTCTGAAGGAGCTGAATGGAACATCAGTATAATCTCACAACATTATGACCACCTCTCTAATAATGCTTGTAGCCCCTCCGTCCCCGTTTGCTGCCAAAACAATTCTGACATATATCGACTTCAACAGACTCCCGAAGGAGTTCTGTGTCTGGTACTAGCAGCAGATTCTTTAAGTCCTGCAGGCTGCCAGGAGAGGCCTCTGTGAACCAAACCTGTCTGCTGCACAGTTTTTTTAAATGTTTGTTGAGGAAAAGTTCCTCGTTTACACTGCCAAGACATGGCAAATCCACTGAGGTTGGCATGTCAGGCCACTGTACGGCGCTGTGATTTTAGAATGTCACTGAACATGCATGCACTTTTGACCCTCAGCTTCCACCTCATTTGGAAAATAGCAAAACAGTATCTAGTCTCCAATGATACAAATGCTAATGCAACGTTTATATGTTCTGTTTCAGAAGTTGTGTAGAATTCGAGGCATGCATTGCAACCTGGGTTTTTCCTCCGGTGCTTTCCTGAACCAAACTGCGAGACATTGAGCAGCTGATGGCAAAACACTGGAAAAGTCCTCCAATTGAATTGCTTAAGCCAAGGGCGATTAGCTCCTAAAACAAAAACAAAAACCCAAGGCTTATGCAATACAGTCAATAGCGAAACACATTAGACATTATTGATCGGTCTTTGGTCACACTACCTGGTTGCTGTCCACTTTGTAGCCATATTTGAGTGCAAATATTCGTCCCAGGGAGATAGCGATGCCATAGCCTACAACAGCGAGTGCAAAGGCATCCCCAACCACCTGGCCAAACAGGGACATAGCAGGTAGAGCAGGTGGCTGGAGACTGCCAAACAAAGATGGCGGACAGAAGAAGAGACATTACACACTCCTCTTGTACAGAGATGCCAAGTAGTGCATGTGTTTTCCTCACCCTGAGGGAATGTCTCCCACCACATCCACTCCATATCTCCTCTCCAGGTTAACTTGCCAAGAGATAACTGTTGCTATGATTACCTAGAAAGACAATAACAGATCAATTAAATGGCCTAATTAGTGTTTTAAGTGATGCAAACCTTCTTTAGTACTTACAGCAAGTAGCTCCATGGGCAGGGGCACAGGGAGCTTTTTACTCAAATATGCATTGAGCTCCTTGGCAAGAATAAGGGCGACAATGGACACGATACTGACCACCAATGTGCCGATATTTGTCTGTGGAAGGAGATAGCAGATCTCTAGCACCGTCTGAGAAGGAAAAACAAAGGACTTTCATATCATCTTAGAAGGTTATGACCTTACATATAGAAATAAAAGTGTTTTTCTTACATAAATCAAGGAAATGGGTCCACTGTATCTCTTTGGGTTGATACCAAAGGCATATTTCAGCTGAGAAACAATGACGTGTATGGCAGCTCCAGTTGTGTAGCCTCGGACGAGGTTCGGACAGGTAAGTTACCACGAAGCCAAATTGGACCAAACCAAGCAGAATCTGCACACATGGCAAACAGAAATCTGAATGTTTGCAATCAGGAAGTCTTGCTAACGTTTTTACGTTTACACGGATTTGCTTGCAGCTGGGTTGGAAGGCTTTAAGTTGAAATCCTGCTCTAATCTTCATTGGAATTGTTTAAATTAAAAAAAAAATGATTCAGGATCCTCTTAGGGTGTGTTTTTTCTATTTTCTGCCCTTGAATCAACCAAGATGTGGCAATTTGGTGAATTTCAACCCCATTTGTCTTCCAATTGGGGAGATATTCAGTAGTACGAGGGCAAAAGACATTCAAAGCACAACATTTCCCTGAAGTTGCACAGCTTTCTCCTAAAGATAACGTTTTTCCAGAAAGGAATTGTTCTGTGATCTTCACCTTTTATACAAAACGAAAAACCAAGAACACATAATTTTATTTCCACTAAACTGTGTTGTTTAAAACATGTGTCTTGCAGGAAATATTTTATGAGCTGATGGTAGATAATCATCGTCCAGCATTCACTACGTGTAAATGAAGTTGCAAAGTATGCTTTACAACGTACCTGAAACAAGCCTGATATAAAAGTGACTGCAACAGCTATGCGGACCCGCTCTTGATCCCGGGAAACGCTGTCGATGATGCTGGAGTTGGTCACATTGTCCCAGATCTCAAAGTTAGAATCTGGTGCCAGGCGGTCAACCACCCCTCCTATCATTACGCTCATCACCGCGTATGTTCCTGAGGAAGGATGAATCAATTACAAAACATTGATCTTAACAATTTAATTGCAGCTCTGGCTCTTCAATCTTAGCCTCATTCTCTCGTGTTTTGTAGCCTCAACGGGTTTTCTTCCTGAATTTTCTTCCATCTATCTTCCCCACCCACTCTCAATCCGACCCCAGCCGTGTCGTTTTCCACCAACTGGGAATGATTAAAAGCAAACTTGAGGGATTAGATTATTTCATTCACTTCTAATGAGAAAGAAGAGAAAGTAAGAAAGAAAACCTCAGTCCCCTATAATTTTTAACATAATAGATATTGAAATTAGTCAACCTTAATTTTCGTCTCGCCCAAAGCTCATCGAATCAAGAAACATGTGTCCCTTCAGACAAAGTTTAATATTTTAGCCACCTTCAGTGCCAAATATCTTGTTTTCAAATGAACATTTCAATATTATGAATACGAAGAGAAGGCAGCCTGTTTATTTGTTCAACAATTAAAGTGAAATAAACCTGCCAAATAATTAACAAGGGCTAGCGCATATCAGTAGCTCAGGTATTGAACTCCTACTTTAATGACTTTTATCAATCACTGTATTCTTCCAGTCCACCTTTGGATGCCAGACGTCTTTTAAGTCCCTATGTTCCTTTTATCAACCTTGTTTTATTGCTGTAATAGAACAACAAGTGGTAAATCTCCAAGACAAGATCGGTTTCGAAATAGATTTGTTTAATCACAACCTTTCTGCTATTACTGTCAAATTCCAAGAGATGTGATCATTTTTCTGTGAATTGGATCAGTTGCCACTTAAATTAATGGGCCAGTACAACAAACCTACCAATCGAGATGTGCTTCGATGTGCCAAAAATGAAGTAGATGAGAACTGGATAGAAGGAGGAGTAAAGACCAAACACTGGAGGAACAGATGCCAGCAATGCATAGGCCATACCTACATGGATGCAAACACAAAGAGAAATAATAGTTTCTGGCATCCTAAGACTTGAATAAAATGCTTTTTATCATTGTAGAAAGTAATTGAGTTCTAACCCTACTCATCTCAAGAACTTGAATGCAGCAGAGAATGAGTTAAAGACCAGGGCTTGCTACTCTTTAGGAAAGATTGTGCTG